TCCGATGTGTGTTTTGTGTGTTCTTTTTCTTTTGTTTGTATTGGAACGCCTTGAGCGTACAAATGAAAATGAAAATGAAAATGAAAATGTATCTTATCATCATTAGGCTGCAAAGTTTCGGAGTCACTGTATGAAATGTTTTCTGGGTTATCAGTGCTGGATTCCCTATAAAAAATTTCTTCCGAAAAGGATGTTATAAAAACAAATATTCTTATGGCCGTTTCAGAGATCGAGCACTTTCACTGGCAAGAAAAACAAGGAAGTATGATAGAATGAGTTTGCCAAAATTTTACCAGAAAATTGCGACAGCAACGTTCTTATCCCTTGAAATGTTTTTTCTTCAAAAAACGCTAACCACCAATAATAGTCAAAAACTGTTGTGATCAATCCAAGGCCCCGTTCAAAAATTGACTTTTGGTAAAAAGGGGAAAGAATCAAATGAGGAAACAGAGACCGAGCGATGGCTCATTCGGATGTTCTGAATAATACCCAAGCCAAATTACTGTTTCATTCGAAAACTGTGCAGATTCACCCAACTCCTGGCAACAAGGCATTTATTAGTGTTGTTTACGCCTTAGTGCATTAGTCTGCACGATGCCGTTTTGAAACTAGTTTCAGACAGATTGTCACTTTCAATCGAACAAACTTCAGCGTTACGAATCACAATCCGTCAAACGGATTTCGTTTGTAATCAAGACCATTGAACTCCGTATTGAACGAGTTCACGATATTTTTCAGACAATATTGCATCATTAGCAAGCATTTTGATCGGCCTTCTAGATTTTGTGTCGTTTATCTGAGCATGGGGAATAGAACAACGGATTATGTACGAAAAACAAAAATACGGTTATATTTTTGCGCAAGGAAGTGCAGATAAAAATGAGGAAAAGACCAAAAAATGTAGCAAATGTTTGGTAGTCTTTAAATCTCCTGTACCAACTTTTTCTGAGATTCAGGTAAATATCGTAGGAATGGCTTCAATCTAGATTTACTTCGCAAAAAACAAACCATTCGGTTTCTCATTATTGGAGGAGCACGGTAGGAACTTCCCGCTGCTGTCATTTGCAAAACAACTGCCGTTTTAAAAAATTTCTAGAACGTCTACAAATTTTGTAATGGGTTATCTGGATCCGCTGATTGCAGTGAATTTGTGCGTATATTTGTGGAGCAGTTTCGATGGTATAATCAGGTTTTGATAGGGTAAACTGCTGTAACAGAACTGTAGTGATATTTGAGCTAGAAATTGCGGTGAAGAGGAAGTCATATATGGAGTTAGGTTTGCTAATTGATTTTGATGAAGTTGAGCCTTTGCATTTTTTGGAGCATTACATGCTCTCGTCGGCGCACAATCTTTCTAAAAACCGTAATTCTACCGTAATAGAAGAAGAGGTGATCTGTGCCTCGTATTTTCGACCGTTGTTTTCCCAAATTCACACCTCCTTACGAGGCATCTGGCTCTGATACGCCTCTTTCATCTTTTTTTTTCAAAACAAGCCTGGCAAGTCGTTAACCGTAATGCCCTCGGAACTTACTCACTAGCTATCAGTTTCAACTTTTTTGATGTGATAAATTCGAAACCAAAATTGAACACATATAATGCCAACAACAAAAAAACATGCAACATGCCCATCTTCATGGTGCTCCATTGTGATGACCCAGGCAGCTCATCAAAATTTGCTTGTCCAGATTTTTGCATACCACAAGACTTTCCTACCCTACTACGCGGGTTCAAATGCGCATAAAATGCTCGAAACCCCCACTCCCCCCCCCAGCGTGAAGGAGGTCAAGGGGGGAGGTCAGATCGAGTCGGACTTGTTGCATTGGACCTATCTAGGGGCCCTATAGAGTATGTGGCGATCCGAGTTATTTAAATTTTGCTGAGACATTGCCTCTAACGTTTCCCTACCTTGCTCTGGAGGGAGGTAACGAGAGCAACGCAGAACGTCTCTGAAACTAGAAGTGACAAGAAGGATGGTTCGAAGGACGCAGTAAAAAAGGTGCAGTCTGTCTGTTAAAGAGAATAATTTCTCCTTTTACTCCGACCTCTTCTATGACGTCGACGATTGCACGTTTAAGTGAGAGGTCTTTATTTGATACATGAACTTCACATTCTATGGCAGAGCGAACCAAAACCAAAACTGAGTTTCTGCATTTGAACAGGAACTTTCATCCTCGCACATTCATATCGTCCTGCAAAAAATTTAGCACATTAAAATTTCAAAGATAAGGTCTCCCATCACATAAGTCCGGACATATTTGACAGTCTTTGGAGTTATATAACAAGATTTTAGGGTAGTTATAAGGAAAAATGGACGTATCTGAGGCGCCTAACCTATCAAAAAAGCAGATTATCTGTGAGAGTTTAGGGTAAGATTGCAAAGTAGCTCTTCTCACGACACAGAGTTCGAAATCCTTAGGTGGTTTGGAGACGAAAATAGGTAGTTTTTTTCTATTGCTTCGATCATTCCATTTCTTTGGGAGACGCGAACTATCTGTGATTGATAGCGCTGGTTACGAGCGGTACGGCCCCAGTCAGCTGACCGCAAGTGATCAGATCTTTGCTAGCATGTTCATAGTGCTAATCTTCTATCACATCAAAACGCTATGCTTAGGCTAAGCTTGGATAAGAGGTTAATTTCTTTGCAAACAATTTGAGGTGACCTGATACAGGATAAGCCAAAATTTTCGGCAACAAAAGCAATCCAGTATTTTGGAGGGAGTTCATAAAGGCACCATTCACCCAAATATTCGCCTCGCATGTTTTTGCCATTGTGGGGCCTCTCCGTGGCCCTAATTACAATTATAAAGTTCAAATAGTGACCCCCTCCCTCAAAATACCTGATTCCTAACCCTGTCTTGAGGGCGGGGACGGCTTTCAGTAAATGGGTGGGCGGGGCTTGATAGGACCTGAGCGGGGTTAATAGCCCTTTGGTTGCTTCAGGCCCATTACCTCCATTCAGAGACAACATTAGAGGACCGCAGAAATGCAGATGCCCCTCATGGGGCCTACATTCACGATCGGCACTAATCGGTGGGGGTTAGATTTAGACTAGACACTGTCTGTAAGACTCCTTGTTTACATGAAAGCGCGTAATTTGTGTAGTTTTTTACCAACTGAAAGTAGATCTTATGTTTGATCTAAGTCCTCAAGTTTCGCATTTGCACATTCTACCACCTGAAAGATCTTTTTAGGTGAGTTGTTATTCCACTATTAAGCTCGAGATCCAACCGTTTTACCCTTCTGTGTCCGATAATAGCGGTGAGATTTCAAGCGTAGCACCGAGATGTAGAAGAAAATGTTAACGCAGATACACTGATCCGATGTGACAGCACTGGAAATCCTTTGATTGAAGCCTTTACGTTCACAATTTTTAACTTTTTGAAGAAAGGTCAGCTGAGGATTTGGTCACACCAATCTTGTGATGCATGTGAATCATTCGAGCTATCTCATTGACCGCGGAGCGCGGAAATCAGCGCTATTGCTACATAATGAGCCGGTACTCACTGTTATTTCTCGTTGTCTCGTTTTCGACGCAATTATGCCTCAACGGCTATAACTGGGGAGGTGTGCAAAATGTCGACTTCACCACGATGATTATCAGTGCTATCATTACCATCGAAACGGCAGTCTCCGCGCTCCACGGGCAATGTGAGTGACACTAATGAATCACTAAAATCGCGCAATTTATAAGAAATACGGGAATGATTCACAGGAATGATATGGGTGAATCGTAGAACTTGCAACGTCTGCGATTGCAGAAAATTATTTGTCCTTCTGCAAACGTGACCAAATCTGCAGCATTGCAGCGTTGCACAAAAATTGCAGGAAAATGATTTTGAGGGCGAGCTGTCCAGACGTATTTTTCACGTTTTTACGTTCAAAGAGTGATGTGTAGTATATGTTTTCTGTTTGATGTGTGGTTTACAGCGTCTGGCCAAGTTTGGAGATTGCAAACGACTAGGTTGGTACAAATTGTCATCAAATCGACGACAGCATTTTTTGTCTTTGTTTCAGAAAATGAACTCAAGCTGTACAAAAGTGTTTGCCAGATATGTATGCAAATCATCAACAATATTTCGCTTCTTAAAGAGGATCCAACGCTGAAAATTTCTCTCATCTATAAAAACTTTTATCTCCTGTACCTTTCTTTACCAGAAACTTCATATATAGCAGGTTCCAAGTAAGCTTTCAAGCTCGAGCATTGTGACCGGCTTCCTCATGTAATCTTGAGAATCAAATCGAGTATTTTACAGATTGCGCAGTTTCTGTTAATTTCTTTTCATCTACTATTTCGCTGACTTCATCCCTTCTTGTATAGTATAAAAATAGCTTTTCTATTGTTCTCATCTACAACATATTCATACGAAACGTAAGAAACCGCTTCTCGAACATCAAGTAATTGGTAACTTGGTGATTTGCACAGGTGATTTTTCTGATCAGATTTCAGGCTTAAATCTCGACTTCGAATGCTAAAAAAGGTTAGATGTCTTTTTTGCATTTCTCCCGAGTTTAACATTTTACAACATTTGATAGATATTGTCAGAACTATTTATTGTCATTAGGACTAGTAATGCGGAAGTATCGATATCGGACGACTAGCAATATGCAGGGCTTATCGAAACCACGTTGAAAGGAATTTTCTCATTGAGTTTTTCCAAGTTCGTGCACCTATGAATGATTATAGGCCATGGCTACTGGAAATGGCTTTCTTGGCTAGGCACAGCAAAAAGAATGCCGCCTTTCACTTACGACACCTTCTAATGGTCTCATGCGAACTTACGCCAGCTAAATAGGATTCCACATTTCTTAGAGCAAGATTTCTTTGTATCGCTATTAAGGTCATATAGAGTGATTGGTCATCCAATCAAAATGCAGGCGATTCGATGCCAGAAGTGCCAATCAGGTTTGTTGCTTGTTGCGCCCGTACTTTGCTGTATAGCTAGAAAATCTCTAGGACGATGATTCCGATCTTTGCCCTTCCAAATGGTCAGCGAAAATTGAATGCACGATTTATGGTCACTGAACTATGTACAAACATAGAGAAAATGCGAATTAATACGAACACAGAGGCAAGGAAATAACTTATTAAAAGATCATGGTACCTGTAAAGGAACAGTGCCCTACACACGAGAAGCAGAGAGCTTAAAGGCTAGCTGGAGTGGATATGTAAAAGCACACGGATTACAGCTATGTACATGAGAATTTGAGGATTCTGAGCAGTTGACGAGCTTAGATGGCTCTTGCGGCCTTGACCAGCTTGACAATGGGCAGCGACTGGCGAGTTGGTCCCGGTTTCACGGGGCGGGGACCACTACCTTCGTCTGGAAGGCTGTCCTCTGGGTCGGATGCGGCTGATGCGAGGTCCTAGAGTGTTGCGATAACCTCTCTTCCATGTCATAGTTAGGAATAAACTCCTTACCTTGCTGAGAATAGGGCTACCCTGGGCCATAACCATAGCAATGGCCCTAACATCCTGGCCATCCAACTGATTTAAGGGCTTTGGACCTTCTTTAACTGGTGGAACAGCACTGGAGGTCTGCACAGCCACATTTGGCCTCTGCTCCTCTTCGGGGACGGTGGTGATCGGGTCAGTTTGGTCAAATGGGAATTCGGCATCGAATTTCATGTACTCTGAAGTGAACAAAAGTTGAAGACGATTTTGTGGGTTCTCTGCGCTTGATTACTTGTTTAAAGAAAAAGTTCCTATAAGAACAATTTAACCTTGGTACTTTTTACTGGTAGTGAGCAAAAAAAGATTTGTACAAGGCCATTGCTTTGTTACAGTAAAAATTCGTGCAAATAAACTGTATGCAGTTTTTACAAACGAATATTGTGAGAAAGAAAAGCGAGAACTCGAATGCTCAAGGGGGTCCAAATAAGCTTTTTTGAATTGTCGAAAGTTATTTTTTTTTGCTAAGTACAGTTCGATTTCCTTGAATATGTAAGTTATTTTTTAATGAAGCACGAAATCTTTGGCACTTTTCCAACTCATTTTTCTCTGGCACCTACAATTCATTTAATAATGTGCTTACCCATGAGGTCGAGGCCGCCGCTGTGGTCATGGTCAAAGCTGTAGAAGAGGGCGGGGAAGTTTTCCCTTGGCTTTACCAAAAATCGCTCAGCAAGCACCCTTTCCATCTCCTTCTGGTTCAATGACATGTCGAAGTCTTCGTCGAAATCCTGAAAATATTTTTTTTACACTTGCTGAACAAAAAGGGGAAGGGGCTCAACCATACCTGGAAGACCTTGGCAAAATATTCAGTCTTTCGGGCTTCACTCCTACTCGTCACACCATGATAGTGCTCTTCATACTCCTTTTGGGTGACGATGCCATCCTCTGCAAATTGACTAATTAGGATATTCCTGAGAAGGTTATTGTGGTCTAATTTCAAAGAAAAACTTACTGTCTTTGTCCAACGAGTTGAACTCTTCTCTCTTTGCATCGACATATGCCAATTCCATATGCAGAAACTCGTTGAAGTCTAACTTTTTGTCCTGATTGGCGTCAACACGAGCAAATTTCTCCTCTGCAACAAAAAATCTGCTCTTCGAACGTTCTTCAGGTTCTCTGCACCTGTCGTCAGGCCGTTCTCTAGCTCGTCAACTGACGACCAATAATTCAAATCACATCAACGAAGTTTTTTCGTGGGAACGTGTCGCTATGGCTTGATTTTACGCGCTTAAACCTTCTCGCTAGCAATGTTTGGAATGCTGTTGAAGTGTGGTACGAACGTTGTCCCACATTTTGCGATTCTTCCGCGACGGAACGCAGTTTACGGTAGCATTCCGCAGTCACATGCGCAAGCTGTTTTTAGATTTTTAGATGGATAAGTCTGGTGTCGGCAGATACAGCATGACATACGAAACGGTGATCGCTTAGACAAGATCAGAATACGGAATCAGCTCAGATAATTATGTTTTTTAAACAATTACATAAAGATGAAAGCGGAAGAAACGTCAGCCTGTTTAGTCACACGACGTTGAATGGATTTGACCAACTCTAGCCCGATTTAAGATAGGAGTAAATTTGGGCTGCAAAAAAAAACCCGGAATGTGTTCACATGGAAAAGCACTTTGCTACCGTAATATGCCAACGAAAAAAAGATTTAATCTCCGTCATCTTTCACAATTTTATTCGGATAATTGTATGACATTGCTGTCTAATTTAATTGTTGTTTTTTCTTTTCAGAAAAACCATATTTTGAGTGCTAGACCCAGTGTCTCATTTTCGGTGATGTTATAACCCTCATTATTGAGTTCGTTGAATTAGACGCTCTAACCTTCATTCGCTGGCCGCAGCGCAATTCGTGTGCACAAAATAAAAATGAATAAAATAATTTAATCCTCTTTCAAGCGAAAGATGCTTGGTAGGGAGATTCAGATATTGAAGACCTTTTTGAGAATCTTGAAATGATGATCAACGCCAAGAATCCCGCGTAGTCAAGGTGAACGACCTGATGCCATGAGAATACAATGATACTCTTTGAGAGCAATTACAAATGTCGTAGATTTGTCGATGGTCACGCATTCTCTCACTGTGGAGCTACTAGTAAATTGGAAATAAGTAAAAGGACATTTTCAAAAAATGCTCATTAATATTTTATGAGGTTTGGAAGGTTTGCAGTTTGGGCAAGGAGATCAAGTAGTCGCTCAAGTCTCGTAATGGTTTAATTGTTCGGAAAATATGGGACAAAGAATTTTCTCAAATTTTTTTTCTTTTTTGAGTAGGACAAGAAAAGCCTGATGGTTTGGTCATTTCTATAATACCAAGCACATCACTTTTGACAATCGCACATTTTCGGCGAAGGGATACCGTCATTGTGATGCACGCTCAACATGGGCCAAAGCGTCTTTCCAAGATTTTTTTTTTGTAAAAACGACTCAGCTTCGCATTGTAAGGTTACCAAACTACATCAAAGCTCACCATGATTTTCGTGCTTGACATGAAATCCGGGCAGATTGAAATCCTCCTCCAATGGCACTGGAGCACAATAGCAGCAATAGCTGACGGCAGCGAGCAGTAACAATTTCATAACTGGAGGCGGAGGCTTAGATGTTCGCGGTGGGAACGTCTGAAGCGGTTCCCGGTTCGAGTGTATTTATATGGGCATCGTGTTAGTCATCACGGCTGTTTTCGTACGAGAAACGCGAAGGCGGAGCAACACACACCGGTCGCGCGCTGCGGTCGCTGCGCTTCGGCAAGCGGCCACGGACTTTTCAGGTGAAGAACGCACAGAACTACCGTTCCCCGTGTGACGTCAGCGTTTCGAGAGCTGGAAAAGAAGTGCTCGTCGCGATTTGTGCGCCACAGTTCACCGCTATGACATATTGCCGTACATCACTTTTTTGCCGACCGCGGATATTTTCGGTAACGCAAGTGCGGCGTATCACGAGCCGGCGCGAAAACGAAATATCTTTTTCGGTCGTAGAGAATGATCGTTTTCGGCCATTTCTTCGGATAGGAATGTAGCGACGAAGGGAACAAACAAAAGTCCAAATACCTAGTGTACTATTTTATGACTGCGTCGAAATACCGAGTTCAATTTTGTTCAATGATTTTATCAAGTCATGAGAAAGTGTTCAGGTAATGTTCATCCTCTAACCTTTAGATATTGGAATGTTGCTTTTTCAATCTTCAGCACCTTCTCAAATCGTCCTCTTCCACCTCTGCCTGTCGTATCTCTCAAATTATAAAACATCATACTAACAGTCGCTACTCTGATGAGTATCTAAATGAGCGCACTAGCAAAGATGGAGAGAAGATGGGAGGACCAAACGAATCTCCTTGAAAAATTCAAAACTAATTGCCCCTGTCCAGGTGGTCTTGGCAGCACAGGCAGAAAAAAGCTTTAATGCGCATCAAATTACGGAACAGTCGAAGGAGATCGGTATCACCTTGAGTGAACTGAAATATGACTGCAAGCTTTTTCTGTTATAACTCAAATCTGTTTTCACATCGATCCTTATTTTTGGATGCTGAGAGTCATACATCAAGTAGAAGTGCTATCAAAATATGATCCGTACTGAACGTTAAAAAAATACGTTGAGATACATGAAAAAAGGAGTTCGTGCCTCATGATAAGCATTTTCAAGATACTTACCTATGTTTGCAGAACTGGCGTTGCTTTGAAAAAAAAAGTTTTATTGGATACTATGTAACATGAACATGAAGGTAGATTTGAATACAATATAGTTGCAATAAGATTTTTGAAAATTTGTTGAACCTTAGTGTCTGCTATTTCATATCCTTGGAATCCTTTACTGAGATTCACGTAAAATGTCTGGGTACGAGACGACTAAGGATATTCTTTGATGAACATCCTATACTGGACTTCAAAGTATGTCGGCTAATAAGCGAAATTGCCCTTTACTTGATGCTAATGAGATGACGCAATTTTTGTGAACCAAGTATGGACGAGATTACTGTAATCAGATAGATCATCATACTTAGCCTCTAAATAAACTTTGAAATAGTGAGTGGGCCATAGGGAAGTTCCTGACAATATTAACTTTATCTTACAAAAACTTTTGGCTATTACCCCCTCTCGAGGGCATTGTTATCACTTCTGCAAGTTTTCAAAGTGAAAACGATGGGCAGACCTCAAAAGTGTGAGTCATTCCTGGAAAATTCGGCTTTAGACTCTTTGCCCAAACTGCGCTCTTTTGGAGCAAATTTTGTCTTTATCTTCTAAGTCTCATATTCTGAGAATCAGCGGAATGCGATAATTTTGCCCTGTCATCTTGTAAGAGCAGCAAAAGTTCCGAAAACGAATCTAACCTTGAAATAGTGGTTAGTCTAGCAGCATTCCCGCTAATCCTATATGACCTTGCTTTCCAAAAGCAACCTTATTGTGCACAACCAGGTTTGTGAGCTGTTCCACGGCATTGCAAGTTTTTTACGCTACCCGTTACGGCACCATCAATGTGCAATCGAGTTTATTCTACTAGCGGGTGATTAAGAGGTCTTACTGCGTGACGTATGTTCCATGGAACATTGCAAAATAACTATTTAAGGATTGGAAGGCATTTCTTCTATTTTGCAGCACTTAACTGCCTTCCTTCTGTTCCTGGTTGTCATTCGGAGAAAAGACATTATTTGTAATTTATGTGCATTTTGTCGCTGTGCGACGATAAAACCAATGAAAGTCAGTTAGAGACGACTTTTTTGGAGTTTTCTCATTCCAAGAATGCTCTATTAATGTTCGCTTGAGTTATTGAAAATTTGAAAAGAATTTGTTCGAGCATCTTGTAACGAATTAGTGATTAGGTCCTTGATTTATGTCCAGAGTGCGACTGCGGAGAAACATTAAACGGCGGAATGCTTGCCATTTCATCAAAGGCAGCCGTAAATTCCGATCTGTAGTTTAGAGTGATCGCTGCGATGTATGAACTTCTCGTAGTTCATCTATAAAGACTTTTTTTCTACTTTTATGAAGCACGAATATTTTATAAGAACATCGGACACATAATGAAGTCGGAAAATATTTTTTTGTCCCTAAGTTACGTTGATAAACTTTGATTCAAAACTTTGTCGTCATTTATCAACAATGTTCAACATCATTGGATAGGACTTTTCTTCCTCTTTCAATTAGCACATAACTTTTTGTTCAAGCTGGAAATTTGTTGGCCATAGAATAGCCGATAGAGGAGGTAAATTTGACCATGTAAGAAGAAAAGAGGCAAATCCCAAGCTCAGCTAACTGAAAGGCGCTTGATTATTTTTATGACCATACCTCGATAGAAAGCAAAATCGAAGCCCCATAATTCTATTGCTTAGTTGAGATCGTCTTAGTAAACGCTTGGGATGAATTTCTGCAGGAAATGATCGTAAAAACAATCGACCGCTCTCCAAAAAGACTATTTGATTATTTTGAAAAAGCAGTTTCTTTGGAATAATTGTCAAAAAAAAGTTATACACCATTGTTGGAGATCATGAGCTACAAAATGATATTTGAGCTCTGGACGCCTCTACATTTTCAGTAGCGAATTTCAAGCTGAGGTTTGCCAATGCAGTTTTGGTACAATCTGATTTTGGTACAATTTTTTGGTAGAATAGGAACTGCATCAAAAAGCTTGATGATTTGCTTCGAGTAGCGCTTGTTTGGGCGACCCTCATCGTAGCTTATGCACCAAAATTTACTAGTTCTTTGTACATTGATACAGTCGAGCTCGTCTAACTCCGTCCCAACTTCCTGGTTTTGAACCCAGTAATTTCCGTTTTTCAAAAGACACGTTTGAAAAGTGCTCAGTAAATTATCAAACATTCTAGACTTCAAGGGCAATTCAGCAGGCTGGCTAGCTGGACTCAGAATGGAGAATTTTCTCTGCAAAACGGCAAATTTGTTAAGTTCTAAGCATTTCCAGATACACTTCCTGCAATCGCTGATAGGATTGCACTATCAGAGTCAATTCTTCAGATTCCTCTGCACCTCAACCGAACCCAGAACACCCCGTAATGAGATCAGAGAAAAAAATGACTAATGGAGTTGGTGGTCGGTCGTGATCCACACCGCATTCGCCAAATTCCTTAAACATTAGCGCATATCTTGAGCGGGCGCAGTTACGCAGTTCGCACATCTTGCGGAGCTGACGTGAGTTGCTTGACACTGGCCAAACGACGAGCGAACAGCGCAAGAACTCTCGGTGTGACCGAAGACGATGACCACCGAGTCTGGGCCATATTTAGTAACACTTGCCACACCCAATTCATCAGTTTTTGAATTCACTAATCCAAATTCGGCCAATATAGCACTTTTGGATCGACTAAATCACAAAATCACAACGCTATTGACTTCGAACGATTGCGGTTCTCGAACTCTACGACATAATGACGATCAAGATCAATTTTATCCCTAACATTTTTCAGTTTTTTCCTTTTCCTTGTTTTGAGGCCACACTTGCAGCTCACAAGGGGAGGACTCAAAGTCGAAATCGGCTTTTCACAAGAAACCAATCGGGAGCATCAAAGCTGATTCCAAGACTGTCTTTGCTATCTGCCAAGCGCCTTAGACCTGAGTTGCGAGCGTTTTTTGGCTCAAAAAATTGAAAGTGCGATTGGTACAAATCCGTCCAAGATTGCGCAAATGGCCCAGCGTTCGGTACCAATCACTCCAAGCATGGGTAACCTTTTGTTTTATATGCTTGTACTCGACACTTCTTTATTTAAGCGTTAGAAAAACCATAACCATTAATTTTACCTAGATTTTGAGTTGTTTTTCTCTTCAAAAAGCACTCATAATTCAGCTCTAGAGGCGCTTGGCAAAAAACAGAGACAGTTTTCTTATCAGAGTTCAATGTGCTCTAAAATAGTATATATTCCATTTAGAAACCGATTTCGACTTTGGTTCATCTCCTGGTCAGAAGAATTTTAGTTTGCAACAATGCTGCGAGCGGTAAAGACCTACATAATTGGATTTTTTCTGAGACGTTTACTGCCTACTTTCCTCAAAAGTGCACTTCGAGATTAAAGAACTGCAAATGTGAGGTATGTAGACGTACTGTCAAGCAATTTTCTCTTGTCCTGAAAAACGGCCAGCAAACTGAAGACGAGCGGATGAACATCTTGGAGCTGTCACGAGAAGAAAGACCTTTCTGATTTATTGTAACACTGCAAATTCAGCGTAGTCTCCGAGTTGAGCAAATTGCTTGTGGCTATCTATTTTCAACACACAATGTGAAACAAACGTTCATTTTGAGATGACTTATAATTCGGGAACAGGTGCAGTGTAATCAAGTAAACAGGGAAGTCTTTTTAGGCCTTAATTTGAAGTAAACAACAGTAAGATGTAATCGTTGAAAACCGGTATCTACACGATCATTTCCTGAAAAAGAGATGTGACACAAAACACCTTTGATAGCATTCTTGTGACGCTAACATGGCAAAAATATGATCCCACATCGGTTAGCCTTTGTAGAAGTTTTGGAACCGTGAAGCATCGGGACGTCTTCCCGATTACAGATCCCGAGCCTGACAGGAGAAGGGAGTATCGAAGTGACAGACTGGAACAAGCTGCCAACTGAAAGAACCTTAAACGCTAGATTCAAACCTGCCTCTTCTCATTGTAGCACCCCCTTTCGAAAAATCTAATAGACTTTTCCATTGCCTTTATTAGGTGTTCGCCAAGATGCAGTGTCCAAAAAGGATTACTAAACTCACTAGAAATAACCTATATACATGTAA